GTCTTGATGGATCCTAATTACACAAGATGCATGTCAGTGTATGTCGCTATATCTTGGTGGTTCGATGCATATTGTGCATATGGTGTGTACGCAAGACTCAAGAAATGGGTTTTAAGATGTTTTCAACATATAACTATTATAATAATTAAATGCAAGGTATTTAAATAAAGTCGTTAGGATAACAAACACATATGAACATACCCAGCACAGCCTTCTTCCCCATTGTTTTTATATTTTACATTATTTCATTTTATAGTATATGGTGGCACAAAAGAGCCTTACAAGGTTTGCAAAGAATGATAGGGTATATGCTTCTTTTGTTCTCATTAGCCAGACATTACTGGATGTCATAGTGATGTTCTATTTGAAATACAATGAAGTACCTTCTTCAGCAATTGTTTATCAGCTACTTTAACTGGATAAAATATTTCAAGAATGTGTTAAGATCAACTTATATGGTATATACACAAAAATATGTCCTTAAGCTTTCTCTCTTTTTATCCTAGTGGGAGTCATTAGATATATTTAATGTTTTCTTGAGCTATGTGATTAAACAACTACAGCAAAATATGTTGGAGAAGATTATCTTCAAAGGTTTACCATTGGCAGTTTAATTAACATACAGTGGACAGAAAGTAAACAAGCTGTTCAAACAGATGATTCAAAGATCCCTCCTGTTGCTTTTGTTTTCCCTGCTCCTGGGAAGGGAGAAATTATATCACATACATCCCTTCATCTTGCTTCTGGATGATTTGTTTTGGTGGTGATTTAAAATATTTTTATGAGTTTGAAAACTCGTGAAGTGTATAGGAATAATTCAGTGTAAATAACTAGGCTGTGGTTTCGCCAGTTTTTCTCAGTCTTTATTTCTGTAAAACATCCATGTTTGGCTTGTTTTATCTTCTTTAAAAATGATTCTGAAATGGGACCAAAATCTAAGCCAATTTCATATTTCGGTCTTGATGCACCATGTGGTACTGAATAATGAACACATAGGAATGCGACTTCTATTGGGTAGTCTTGCTTTTGCATGACATAACCAGAGAAAAAGAATTAGATCTAAAATAGCAACCAAAAGAAAATTCATGGAAGCCAGGCCCTAAGGCTCGCACACTTTCTTTTTAGAAAACCCTCAGGTCCTGCTTTAGATTCCGTTTACTCTTTGGAAATTCTATTCGAGCCAGCAAACGACCAGTTTACAAAGTTTAAGGTAGCTCATTTAGAAGGAGCAAGCCCACCTAGGATGGAGGCAAAGCAGCCAGTGACTGAATTCGCTGATGTGAAGGTAAAGCAAGAGAAACAAGGATGAAACACTGCTACAGATTTACAAAGCAAACCCTCAAAACTGCACCGCTGTCTGGAGACTCTCCCTTGTAAGTGCTCAAGGAAGCATTTACCCTCGTTTCACATGCGAGGCCTACCTGTCTGTTTAATTTAGCAATCCTGCTAATAAAGTTTAAATGGGCACTGCAATAACGGGAGTTTGATACATTAAAGAAACACCTCAAACTTCAATGTAAGTGGTGTTAAAAAAGAAAGTTTGGCATATTAAAAACTGTAAGTTCACCAGAGCAACGATCAAGTCCAAGGAGCGCACCAGAAGTGATCAGTAGTATTCCAAGGACTGGAGTTACGGGAGAGACTATTGTGGAGAAAAGGAGCAAAGCAAGGAAACTATTTGATTGGCTATAGCTTAAGTGTTTGCCTGATTCAGAAAAGCAGAGTTGGCTGTTTGTGACTGATTGTCCTTAGGTTTTTATTTCTTAACCTTGAGGCATTTATAGGCTTAGATTTGGGTCTGCTTACAATGGAGGCTGCTAAGGTTTATTAGTACCATATCAGTCTAATGGCCTCCTTGTTTAATTAACAGTGGGGAATATGAGCTTGACTGCTCCTAAGTGTTGAAGCTCCTTTTTACTTCTCTTGCATAAGAAAGCAGAGAGAAGATGAGAAAGGGGCTTCAGGAAGCTGAGAAGTAGAAACCTCTGCAGACAGCTTCTCCTGGGCTAGTTCTCCTGTCCACTCCCTGTCCACTCCCTGTCCACTCCCTGCCCTGGGCCAGGGCCACAGGGGCTCGTGTGACGTATAACGTGGCTGGCCTAACAGGCATCACAGAAAGTCCTGCATTTTGTCTTGTGCTATAAACATCTGAAAAAATAGTGGTAAGGTGAATATCAGTCAATTAATATCCAACAATAATACTAATTTAAAAGAAACCCAGAGTTGTAAGTCAGTTAATATCCAACAATAGCACCAATTTCAAAGGCACCCAGAGATGCTTTGAAATTCTGTTTTACAGATTTTAATAAAGTCTAAGTCTTTGAAGTTTTTGGTATATGTTCCCTAATCTACATTATTGGTGGGAAGAAAAAAAAACCATACACCTCTGGTTTCAGCCGTTCCTTTTGTCGGATTTTTTAAAAACATTTTTTTTAAAATTTCTAGGACCATGTAAACGCATTACATTGGCTGCATTTCCTATCTAGGTTGACATCCTCACAAGGACCCTGTACAGATTGTCAGTTGTTCCTCTGTGACTGTTGTATTCAGCTAGCCGCCCCCGGTGCAAGGCAAATGCACAGCTCAAGTTAACCTAGGTGTTGTGCGAGGAGGTCTTAACTTGGTTGTTGTAAAACTTTTATTGCTTACTTTTGTTGTAAGCTGCCTCATATATTTTTGGTAATGAGGCAGGATATATAAATAAAGCAAATAAAACTGTTTTATGTAGGTTTGCCTAGAATCATAGGTCTTACTGCCTGACACAGCCTCAGGAAAACTGTCTACTTGTGCAGGTAAGATATTTTCATTCCAGCTAAAATATAGGGTAAGTGAGGCACAAGGAGTTTTGTGAATGATGCTGGATCCCACATCCAGCAAACCTAACAATAACAATTCCACCCAAGGTCTCCTGAATCTTTGCACAGTAGTTCTACTATTATGTAATTCTGCCTGGTCCTGTCTTTCTTTCTCTGAAGATACTATCAACAATTCATTTACCTACTCACTCATTCATTCTTTCAGTAAACATTTACTGAGCACTGTTCAATGGCCAGTGGGAACAACAGTGTTAAACAAGAAACATTTATTGCCTTGGATGGGTGGCTCAGTTGGCTGGAGTATCGACCTGTGTGCCAAATGGTTGAGGGTTTGATTCCTAGTCAGGGCACATACCCAGGCTGTGGGTTTGATTCCCAGTCAGGGTATGTACCGGAGGCACCGCATCGCCATTTTTCTCTCACATCTATGTTTCCTTCTCTCTCCCTTCCTCTGTCTAAAATCAATAAAAGCACATCCTTAAGTGAGGATTACTGAAAAAAAAGAAACAGCCCTGACCCGTTTTGCTCAGTGATTAGAGCATCATCCTGCAGACCAAAGAGTGGCAGTTTGGATTCAGGTCAAGGGCATGTACCTCGGTTGCGGTTCAGTCCCCGGCTCTGGTCGGGGTTGTGCTGGAGACAACCAATCGATGTATCTCACTTCGATGTTTCTTTCTCTCTCTCTCCCTCTTCCTCCCTCCCACTTTGTCTGAAGATATATGGAAAAATATCCTTCAGTGAGGGTAAAAAAAAAAAAAAATGTTTCCTGTAGTGAAGGGTGGGAGGGGACCATGATCAATGCTTTATGTACATGAGTTTTTTCCCAGCCTTACAACAGTTCTGTGAACTAACCACAGTGCTACATTTTTGTGGCTTCTCTGGAGTCCTTGGCCATTGCCATCTGCATGGTTTTTTTGGTCCCATCATTCTGACACTGTGGTAGTGACTCTCAGGCCGTATCCACTCAGGCATCAGGCAGTGGGAGATCTTTTATGTTCACGATGAAACCAAAGCAGAGTCTCTCAGTCAAGAAGAATTATCACCTTTTTTGAGTTGAAAGGGAGATATTTTAGACGACTTGCCTGTGATGAGTAGTGGTAGCCTTACCTTAGTTATTAGTGTTCTGACTAGCTGATTCAGTCGTATTATAGCCACATTAAATACATTTTGGTTCCTTGGAATGTTCCTGTTTTGCGGGGAACATCACAGCTATGATTAAATCACTGCTCTCTTAAGCTCTTTTTGAAGCCATATCCTGCCAGTTCGAAAGCCTGTCATTTCCTATCTTTTGATAACAGCCATGTAGAAGAGGGTTGTTCTTCTTAGGCAGAGACTGAATTCCTCATACTTGCGGTCTACCTTCCCCTGCTGACCTACCGAAATGAAAGACTGGGAGTGATGATTAAATCTCATTTCCCCTCCTGTACTGGCAGGATGCGCTGGGTCAGCAAGGCCAGTCCCTGCAGATGCTTCAAAATACCTTTGCGATTTGATACTTGCCTCCCCGTCCATTCCTCTAAGTGCCTGTCACTGTCATGCGTGACCCCCCTGGCAAGGTCACAGGTAAGAACAGCACAGGTGAACAAGAGCGCTTGCAGTGCCTCCTGACAGCGCTGCTTACGAAATGAGTGAGGCAGTGAACCCGGTCCGACCTGGGAGCTACAAGGCAGGGTAGCGCATATACACGAAGATCATTCTGGGTGTGATTTAACCCGTTCAGACACATCGCTGTCTCTGCTGTTCAGCGTAACTCCTGTGAAACGATCGGCTCACAAGTGAATAAGGTCTGACTTTTATTTTCAAATGGACTGCGAGTCACTTGGTCTCCACTCCTTTGTCTGGATTGTAGCTTGTTTTCTCAGAACAGCTGGGGAATGTTTATGAAGTGTGTGTGGAAGGTGGGGAGGAAGGGAATAAAAACGCATTGCTTTAGGGCTGCACATCTGTGTCGGAGACTCTGCTGGGTCTGCACATTGACCATTGTCACGACTTATGATGTGTCCTAAATTACATTCTACTCAGAGACATGCATTCCGACTCAAAATATTACAACTAAACAGCTTTCTCTGGTCTGAGTTAGTCTTCCGTTTTCATGACTGGAGGAATTTTCTTCCTGCTCAAGTTGCAAGCATGTGTGTGACTCACGGCAAGTGGTCGTTCATTATTGGATTTCTTTTCAAACAGATTGGCCACAGCAAGTTGCTCAGGCCTTCCCGCAAACATCGGAGGAGGTGGAAGTAGACACACAGACTTTCAGCCACCGGTGGAAAAGGAGCACGGACTCCCTCAAAGCTGTGGACACAAACCGAGCGAGCACGGGCCAAGACTCCCCAGAGCCCAGAGGCTTCGCAGACCTTCTGCTGGACAACACCACTCAGATCGAGGTAAATGATCCGAATAACTGAAATGGATTAGTGACTAGATTTTTTGTTTTCTTGTAAGATTTCTTGTAAGGCAGCCAACTTCCATGTGTGTGCGCCATGTATATATATATATACATATATTTATATATATATATGGTGTCCTTTCAACTCAACCTAGAACTTAGAACTTTTGGACTTTTTTTGGGGGGGTAAGGATCAATTAAACTCATAACTTAATAAATAATCTGTTTATATTTAGTAATTAAATAATAAATACTAATAATTATATTAAACAAATACATAGCTAAAACATTTAACCACCACAAATTAATTGACCCATGAAGCGGACGAACGCAGGCTTGGTGTGGTGAGGGCAGTGAGGGGCCCCGAAGGTGAAGATGACACAGCGCCTCCTGCCACGAGATGACTGTGTAAGAGGTCTGAGCGCCATTCTCAGATCATCCCTAGGCCATGCGACATGTACAAAAAGATATGCAGGCTGTAGTGGGGCCCGTGTGCAGGAGGGAGTGACCATCTGCTTGGGGCTGGGGCTGGGCTGTGGTCAAAGAGGTTAATTCTAGGAGTGGGCATCTAGGCAGGGTCTTGGCAGACCGAGAGGAGCCCACCCGGTGGATAACGTGTCAGTGGTAAGAGAGAAGAGTCCTGGCAGAGTGAGCTACACCTACAGTGACTGAGTCGGAGAACAGCTCGGAGTGCTGAGGAGTCTCGTGGGGTGGCCAACTGTCCTGGATTGCCCGGGACTGGGGGTTTCCTGGCATGTAGGACTTTCAGTGCTAAAAACTGGGGAAGTTCTGGGCAAACTGGGATGGTCCGTCACTCTGACTACGAGTGATTCTTTGTTATGGTGGAACCATGCAGTGGAAGGGGAAGAGCTTGGAGATGGGTTTGATGAGTCTGGAAGTTTGCTGAGGGCAGATTTTAGGGCTACTCAGAGACCTCAAGGGTGGTATTAGATTGCTTCAGTTTCCATAATCCTTACCATTGCAAATCATAAAATGTGATCTGGTTAGTACACTGGATATAAAAAAGCAAGCAGGTAAAGTTTATGGACACAAGCAAACACCACCCAAGTGAGAACATGTCTTATTCAGTTCGTCAGAGCAAGGGAGCCAGCCTCCATCACCTGCCTTTGGTGGAGACTCAAAAACAGTCAGGGAGTGGGGCAGGTTTTCCGTTTCAGACAAAAAAGCAATCTTCACGTACGCTCTGATCGGCGGTGCTTGGCCTGGAGAAGCTGGAGGCGGGCTCCTCAAGGACAGAGCATCTGGTGTGGTTGGTTGGAGAGCATGTGTGGCTTTCTGTGGTTGGTCCTGAGTAGGATGCAGGGACAAAAAATAATAATAATAAAATAAGGCAGCTTCAGTTATTAATGGAGTCCTGTTCGTTGTGGGCCAATTGCTGTCACTGTTATGTTCTGGTCCCCGACTGGTTGCTCTTGCAAGGGTGGGGAACGGACAGCCCACAGGCCATATAAGGCCCTCAAAATCAATACCAACTAACATCACAGGCCTCACCAAATCAGCCTGACCAAATATAGCAGGCTGATTTTTAAGCTGATAATTTTGTATGGTCTGACAATGATGTTATAAATAATATCCAAATGGCCCTTGTCAGAAAAAAGGTTCCCCACCCCTGCGAGGGGTTGGGGTCCAAGTTCTATTGTCATCTATGGTCGGGCCATTGTCCGTCTGAACATTCCTTTTCAATCCGAACTTCTGGTTTCTATTTTCTCCCAGGTGACAGACTTAATTCTTTTTTTTTTTTTTTACTTTTTTTTCTTTATTGGTTTTAGAGAGAAGGGAAGGGAGAAGAAGAGAGAGAAAGAAACATCGATGAGAGAGACCATCAATTGACCGCCTCCTGCATGCCCCCTCTGGGGATCAGGCCCACAACTTGGGCATGTGCCCTGACCGGGAATTGAACCAGTGACCTCGTAGTGCCTGGGTCGAGCCACACCGGCCGGGCAGGCTGAATGCTTTTTAAGATCCAGGCACCATTCTTTTTACTGTTGTGAACTACTGCTCATTATTTAGGGGGAAAAAAAAAACTCATCTCCACAGTCTGCAAATAGTATCAAGGTCCCCCTCATTACTGAGAGGACCCTTCAGAAGATCCAAAGCTCAGGCCAGTGGGATTCTGTGTATGTTTGAAGCCCAACAATTTTCAGAACCCCTTTCTATCTCCCTAATGAGTATGTGACTCGGTGGCCCCGGCTGCCTCGGCCAGACCCCTTACCAGGCAACAGAGGATGTGCCAGGAGCCGAAGCCACGCAGTATCGCTAAGAGGCTCTTCTGACTCCTGCAGTGTGCCTGCTACTTTGGCAACTATGTTGTTATAGCAACTCAGAGTAGGCAACATTATTCTTCCCGAGAAGCTCTTCAGCTAGGGTGCAACATGAAGAGAGCTGAGCGGAAACAGAGGTGTTTGCTCTCTGCACAGAGCGGCGCCCACTCAGGGAAAGGGAGGGTCACCGATTCTTAGAGCCCTGCCATCTCCACGCGGGATGCAGAATCTCCTAATCACTTGTGAAATAGAAAATCCCTTGGCTCGCGGATGTATTAACACTCCTCAAAATACAGTCATTATCATAGCTGAAATTTTGTTACTCAGCCGATTTTTTCTTTTTCTGCCTTGACACAGGGAGACCACATAATGTCAGTGATTTGAATCGGTGAGAAGCAAAGGAAGGGACGGTGCAGGAGGCTCTTTGCTGGTTCTCACTCGGTGCTAAGGTCTGGCAGGTGCTGTATGGATATTATGTCTCTGGGTCCTTATATCAGCCTAGAGAGATTTGCAGAGCCCCAGGTTTGCGGAGTAATCTCAGTGACTTTTACAGGAGAGCGATTTCAGACTGAGGTTCAGGATTTTTTTCTAAGGACTCCCATTAGTGAGTAAAGAAGCTGGTGTTCAACCTCAGGCCTGCCCAGCGTCCAGGGTGTAGCCTTTCTACTTGACTTGGCTTCCTCGAATCTATGCGGAAAAATAAATGGCACTCTGATTATGTACGGAATGTGGACAGTGGCAGCACCCAGATATCAATATGGAAGTAGCTTTGGGGTTTCAGTCTGGCCCGAAGGGGACTTGTCTTGAAGCTAGATGTGCACGGTAAGAGGACGGCCTGTATCTTGACAGTTTATTTACTTTGATGGCGTTCTGGGGAATGATGAAGATGACTGGGGATCTGAAGTTCCACACGTCACTTATTGGTACCACCACCAATTCTGGAAACAAAAAGCCCACATCTGAAACTTTTCCGAAAAAGGTTATTTATCCTGGCCCTTGAAGTAGTATTTTCGAACACTGTTGCATCTCTTTTGGGGGAAAATACTTTTGCTGAAATGAGGGAAACAGGAATAAAAAAGGAAGGAAACAGGTGGTTATAGAGTGCCTGCTCTGTGCCGGGCACTGGAACAAGGTCTTTCTTGTGTTTTAGGAATAAGCGTTTTTCTTTATATTGTTAATTACAAACAATAAGCATGGACAGCTGTGTGCACCCTTCCCTTTAGATGCTTCCCGGCCCATGTCGGGAATCAGAACGCTCTCCCCTGAGAGTCCTGGCTAGGGTGGTCGTTCTTAAACCAGTTTGTATCCCGTGAGACTGAAACCATCCAGAAGGCTGTGCATGTCCTCACCTCTGCCGTGTCTACTCTTTATAGCCCACTTTCACGGAGCAAAAACAAAAGACAGTAGCATATTTACTATTTTGGCACAAATTCGTTATGAAGCAAAGACTGTTTCCTCTCTCAAATTGGTGACAGTATTTTTTCTGGCTCTGCATGAGAACCGCTAACGGAAGGGTTGTAGACACCAGTGTCCCAGCTAAAGAATTCTTCCCACTGAAGTGTGTTGTTGTTGTCGTCCTTGTTTTCTTCTCTCTCTCTCTTTTTTTTCACATTCATCCCATGAAGATATAAAGATGTTTTGAAACGAGTCATACTTCCTGTTGAGCAAGCAAGGACTCAACAGTAAGCAAATGGCACTGTCGATCTGAATGTTGATTTAGGTGAGACTTCTTGCATCGTCTCTGGTCATGGGCACGTGTAACCACTTAGCCAAGGAGGAAGAACAGTGCCTCCTGATCTGCAGGTGTGAAGAGGGAGGTGTCGTAAAGGGATCACTGCTGCGCTCCCCTGTGTGATTACTTTGGAGATAGAGGGGTTCCCAGGACATGTAGGTGAAGCAGAATTCCAGTCACGACTTGGACGTGTTTGAGCAGCCAGTGAGCCCCCGACCTGGGGCACGCGAGGATGACAGTGCAGTGTCTACGTCTCTGCCGGCTGCCCCTCCGTTTTCTGGCCCAGAGAACTCACTGCAGCAGAGATGCTTACGGGACCGAGGGCCCGAGCAGCCAGTGCTTGGTGAGAATCGCTGATTTTCGAAGAGCTCAGTTGTTTTATCTCATTCTTGCCTAATGGTGTTGCTAACAAACTGTTCTCTTTGCAGAAATCAACCCCAAATTCCTTTCTAACACACTAAACCGAATGTGTGCTTTTTAGCATTTATTCACACAGAGCTTTGTATTTCCTCCCTTGGGACAATGAAAGTGTTTCTGAAAAGGATCAGCAAGTGTGATTTTGTTGTTGTTGCTTTGATTTAAGAGAACCAGGATAGCCTGGCTGATGTGGCTCACTGTTGAGGGTCGACCCATGCAGCAAGAGGTCACCGGTTTGATTCCCAGTTGGCAGGTCATGGGCCCAATCCCCAGTGGGGGGCAGGCAGGAGGTGGCCAATCGATCTTCTCTCTCATTGATTTTTCTATCTCTCTCTCTCCCTCTCCCTTTTTCTCTCCTAAAGTCAATAAATAAAACATATTTTTTTAAAAAAAAATAACACCAGGGTGACTTGAAGAAGGGAAGATTGACATATAGGGCTTGCGGAGCGTGTGAGTTATGATCCAACTGACTTGGGAATGTGAACCTGACCAGCGCCTCTCAGGTGATACAGATGTGTCCAGACCTTGGGCTGCTCCTTGACTTGCAAGGAATTAGAGCACCAAATA